CAGCACGAACCAGTGCTTTCCCCAAAGGCCACCCAGCCACCTCATTCTGTTCAATCAGTGTTCCACCTGACATATTGCTTACCAAGGACAGTCCTGGCCAAAACTCTGCCAGGGCATCTGATGAGGCCACACTGCACTTGCTGGTTGCCAACAACTGAGGAGGACAGAGCAGCCTTTTTCAGAGGACCCACGACAAGGTCACTAATCCGGAGTAGCTTGTTAGGCTCTGCCTGTGGGCTCCAGGTCCCTCTCACAGCCCTGGAAGGTGCCCGTTGGTAGGGGAGATCATGAACTCTCATTGCCTCCATCTGCTTGCAGCCAGCAGTGTGGGGAAGTCCTGCCAGGGGGAGGACCTCATGAGAGGGGCAGAAGACCTTCGGCAGGGGAGAGGGATGGCTCTCAAGTGGGCTCCTGCTTCTAGTGAGATCTGTGTTGGGACATGGAACTCTACTCTTCTCTGTGGCTGAATGCAGGGCCCAAGCCCACAGACCGCATCGAGGGGAAGGGTTGTGCTGTGAACGTGAGTCTCTCCAAGTCCGACTTGGGGGCACGTGTCTTCCGTCTTTCTCCTCCTCCCCTCTTGATGGCAAAGGGGTTGGGTTTGGAGGCAAGTTTAATTCAAGAAGACAGTGTATGGTCTTTCTCGTTCCCATAACACGTGGCTGTTCCAGATCAGGGTTGCAACTCCTTCAGGGACCAGGAGGATAAGCAGAGGAGGAACAGGCAAGTGGAGGGCCACAGGGAATGGTGTGTCCGTGCTGAGAGAGCCCGAAAGCCAGACCCAAAGACATCTGAGTTCAACTGAACACAGATACAACACACAGTAAACTGAACAAGTGCTCAAGCAGAGCCTTGAGTCTTTGGAACGCAGACTGAATAAACAGCCATGAACAAAGACCCACTGGGGATTTGTGTCCCATCCATGCCCACCCCCCTCCCCATTTTAAATGAAGGAGGAGGAGGGATCAGAGGGAAAGGCAAACTCTCATGGTTGGCATTCCACAGAAGAAGAGTTCAGATTTGAACTATGGAGGTTGAAGAAATAGAAAGTGCTCTTTTTGTTCTTTTTTTTTAAGAGGAGGGCAGGTGATCAAAGATAGAAACTGGGAGGTGTCTACAAGTTTCCCTCCCCTATGGAGGACTTCACAGTAATTTTGGATGCATCTGTGTCTGACTTAGGCACCCAGGCTGTGAGGTACCATTGTAGGGACCAAAGGATGAGCTGATGGAGGATAGTGGTCTGCTTCTCCTCTCTCTAGGGAGTCTCTGTTTAGTGACTCATCCCTTGGGGGTTTTATCAGAGCAAGGGGTGGTCTCTGCTAAGGCTGAGGGCAGGGCTATCTGGAGCTGTTGCCAGAGGCTACTCAGAGTGTCAGGAAGACAACCCCCTTTCCCAACACCCTAGGGCAGGTCTCCCAAAGTGTGTAAGACATGTACCTTATCTGGACACGGAAGAACATATCGTTGACTTTCAAAGCTAGAAAGTGTTCCCTTCAGGGTTGCTTTCCTCCTCCTGATTACAGCAAAAGACAGGTCTCTGCGCGAGTCTGTTTTTGACACTTTGGTAACGCTTGCTAATCAGCTCCCGCTCAGCGCCTTTGCTAGGCAGTAGTATCTAGAGCTTGACGACATTTCTTTTGTTTTCACTTTATGCATTTTTTGGCAGTTATCTTTGATCGATGGCACGAGATACTGGCTTTCCCATTTACGATGGTGTTGCATAGTGAGTGTCCTTAATACACTTAAGTAAATATTAAGCACTATCAGCATGGCAGAGCCCTGCTGGTGTAGTGATTACACATTGGGCTGCGATCCGCGTGGTCGGCAGTTAGAAAGCACCAGCAGGAGAAAGACGGGACTTTCTACTCCCCTCACAGCCCCAGCCTCGGAAACTCACAGGGGGTCACTATGAGTCAGCATTGACTCAATGGCAGCGAGTATCAGCTTGGCAGAGAAGTGAAGGAGGAGCTTGGGTAAGCATTGAAGGACAGGTTCCGTGGAGTAGGTGAGACTGCTGCACGGGGCGGGCGTCACTCATCTTGGTGGAAGATGAAGACATTTGAGGAAGAGGTGGAAGAACCTAGCAGGTCCCAGGGACAGCACCTAATAGGACCTGATCTGGACTACTTCCTGGCTGTCAGGATTCAATTGAGATGCTGCTTCTTATGGATAATCCTCCAGATTGGAGCCTCTGAGGTCATCTCTCTGCTAAACACTGGTCACCATTCATTGTCTTCTGGAATCAACTGGGACACCAGAGATCCCCAAAGCAGATGCCCACTGGGGATGAGAGCAGGTAGCCATTTAGTGGGTGATATGCAGAAATATGGGCTCCGTCTGGAAGCAAAGTGGGAAATCAAACATTTTCTGTGAATTGTCACCATGTTGAAGGCTGACAACTTCGTTTTAGGAAACCACTCTCCAGGCCAAATGAACAATGCCTTCGGGGCATGACACATCTGGGAGCTTCCATGTGAAGATGGCGAGGTCAGTCTGCAGTGTCCTCACACCCAGGCCCTGGAAATGACAGAACTGAAGGTACAAAATCACAGCTTGTGGGAGCTGTGCAAGTCATGTGCTTCTTTTCAAGTTGGCCCTTCCTGATGGGCAGAGAGGGGCCTGAGTCATCTCTGGGTCCCCAGTCCCAGGCCAACGCTCAGCTCCTGCCGACATAAAAGAAAACTAAAAAGGACAGATGTCCACCTCTGGGGCAGTGAGGCAGAAGTTGGTGCCCTCCTAGCAGAGCTGGTCTCATAGACACATGGCTTGGAAGGGACTCCCAGGCTGGATGGAAAGGGAGGTCGCTGTGTTTGTGGGATAGCAGGTCCACAGGATGGTGATTCCAGGCAGGAGGAGGCTTAGGCCCTGGCTCTTGAAGAGGCAGAGTCTCAGCAGTGGACTGGCATTGACATCAAAGCTGGCCGAGGAGGGAGTGAGGGAGGACTCCTTGGATGTGGGATTGGAAAAGCCAGGACAGAGAGGCTGGTCCAGCCTGGGGAACCTGGATTTAAAGGTTGGACAGTCCTGGGGGATTCAGGTGTGAGGCCAACAAATCCTGCCGGTGCTCTAGGAGGGTGCGATAGGGGTGGGAGGGGAAAATTGTGCGCAGAGGCGGCAAGGAAGATATGGGGGGGAAACAGAAGGAGGGGCAGGGACTCCAGGCAGAGAGGAGTTGGGGCAAACGTTGATCTTTGGGGCTTGCCACTGGAGTGCACTTTCCTATAAGGGATTCCTTAGCCTCACCTCCGGGGTTTCCCACCTGGCCACAGTAATTAGTCTGCCATTTGTTCTCTTATCCCCTCGCCTTGTCCCGCCCCAGTACTAAAAGAGAGGGTGTCTAGGTCCCTCGGGCCTGGGATGGATGGGTGGGGCTCAGGCGCCAAGGGACTTTCTGGGTGCGGATGCTCTGGCCCGCGCGGCTCCTTCGAGGTCTCGGCCACGGCGGCTCAGAGTGCACAGAGGGTGGCC